GTAGAACTTCTCAGAAGTACAAAATACTCATGTACATTATGGCTCTCTCAAAGGGGAAAAGTACAGAGCATGGTGTTTTGTAAGAAATGCCTCAGAAACCTGAGTTTGGGAAAGTTCTGTGTAAGCTGTAAAAGGCTGTGGAAGGATTTTGAGCTATTGAAATATACCAGGTTTTCATGCAGAACTTACGTTGTGGGGAATGAAGAGGGGACGGACAGATGGAGGAATATGATATACAAGGAGCAGTAGAAGCAATTACTGTTATCCATAGCATAAGAAGTAATACATAAACCACAAAAGTGTAAAGGAACTTGGAAAGGCACAGAAGGTTTTATAGGCATTTATAAAGTAGAATAAATAGACTGGTAGAATCAGGAAGCAGGAACTTAAAACAGAAGCCAGGTTTTTTACATAAGTCATTGGCTATAAGGTTCTAGTATCCAGGAAAAGGGTCTGCACCTTAAACCTGTGAACATCAGGTGTGATCAGAGAAGAGCAGGAAGGTCTCAAAGGTGTATTAGTTCATCATTAAGGTTGCAAGGTTAGGTGCAAGAACAAGACTTTGGACTGAACTCTGGAGAACATCAGTGTTAAGAAATGGACAGGGAAGGCAAAGCAGCAAAGGGCTAAACGATGTGATCAGTATCACTGCGTTGTACCTGTAGAGATTTTTGGTTTGGTGTATGTTTCACTGTATATGTTCTCAACAACATCAAATTACAACTTAAAAAATTCTGGAGATTAGTTGACATGCCTCAAAAACCTTATGCATGCATCTTTTCCCTAGCAAGTCCACTTGTAAAATTTATCCTAAGAAAGTTTTATAGATCCACACAACATTGCATATAATGCTTGAAAAATGTAAGCACACACCAACATCATAGGATAAGTTAAATAAATTAACATCTGTATGATGAAACAATACTTTGCAACTAAGAAAAAGTAAGAAATAGTATAGATAACTGGGTCACCAGTGTCAAATGCTGCCAAGAAATTGAGTTAGAGCAAAAATAGTGTTCCTTGGATCTGAAGAGTCAGAGTCATCAGTGACCTTTGCCTGAATGATTTCAGTGGAATGATGGTGATTGAAGCCTGTATGAAGAGAAAGGAGGAGTTGGGAGACAGAGGCTAGTGTATGGGGTAACTAAAATGGCTTGTCTGGGAATAGTTGCAGTAAGATGCAGAAAATAACAAAGGCAGACATCAGTGCTAGTCCCAGATCTACCACATTTTGAGTATTTAAGTTTCTTTTTCTATAAGATGTAGACAGGCCTGCTGATGACAAGTAAACACAATATTGCATGTGTTAGGATCATGTAAATTATACGTTGTTGTTGTTGTTGTTGTTGTTGTTGTTATTATTTTGTGCCGGCAAATCACCTACGACTCATAGCAACCCTATGTACAACAGCCCTAAACCCTGATCTGTCCTGTGCCAATCTTACTGTCTATGACACATCTACCTCCATTACCCCAGTCACTGAATCAATCCATTTCATGGAGAGTCTTCCTCTCTTGGGCTGTCCCTCCACCCTCCCAAGCATAATGTCCCTCTCCAAGGACTGGACCCACCTTGCAACATATCAAAGTATGTCAGATGAAGCTTCAGAATCCTTGCCTCCAAGGAGCAGCCTGGTTTCACTCTCTCTAAGACAAACCTGTTTGTTCTTCCAGCAGTCCATGATATATTCAATACTCCTATCCAGCACCACAGCTCAAAAGCATCAGTTCTCCTTCTCTCATCCCAAGTCATTGTCCAGCTTTCTGATGCATAACAAGTAATTGCAAAGACTGTCCTTGATCAGGCATACCTTAGTCTCTAGAATGGCATCGTTGCTCTTCGGTACTCTGAAGAGGTCTCTGACCTCAAACTTTCCCAATGCAATTAGTCTTAATTTCCTGGCTGCTGATACCAAGAGTGTTATTATACACTACATGAGGAATAGGATACATTATTACAGAGAGAGCTCTCTCAAACACTTAAGCTGTCACTGCCCTCATCTGAGATCCCATTTCAAAGTCTTCTTATGTACTTCTGTTGTTTTTCCTAGTAGTGGTTTTCCCAGAAATTAATAATTAATTGTTTACTAGGTTTAAAACACACATTTGAAGTTCTCTATGGCCACTCCTTGGAGAGGGACATCATGCTTGGAAGAGTGGAAGGTCAGCAAAAGAGAGGAAGACCTTCAACCAGATGGATTGACACAGTGACTGTAGCAATGGGCTCGAGTATGTCAGATTGTGAGGATGTCTGTCTAGAGAACAGAAAATGGTACATGGGGCCACAGGGCTGTGAGCATTTCACTGACAGGGCATGAAGGAGTGAGAATAGCACAGTACCTCAGTGCTCCAGAGCAGAAATGATAAAGACCTCATAGTGCAGCCCCATGGTGCCTCTAGAGCCACACTAGCAGCAAGAGGTTCATTTATTTGTTGTTGAATCAAATTCAGGTCAAAAAGCAGCTTTTCCTTCATCAAAGGCAAGAACAACAAAACCTTTAACTATGGACAACACAAACGCAAGAAGCCTTAGGTCACATCTTGCCACAGTTTCTCCACAGCAGTGCCACAGTCTTTCTACCACCATCACCAGGGTTTCGCTCTCAAGAAGGTCTTGCTCCAGTCTCCCTCAAGTCTTGTCTCCAGTCTTGCTGCCACAAGTCTTGCTCGTCTTTGTGGGGAGCACTTGCTTTTATCCTAGTCACACAGTTGTTGATAATTTGCAAGACCATGTAGCTTGAGACCAGACAGGGCTTAATATAATAGTTTTAAAAAGCCTATTTTTAGGCTACCACCACAATGGCACAGGATAGGACATGGTTCAGATCTGTTGTTCATAGGATCGCTATGGGTGATGTGACTTGATGACACCTAACAACAAGAACAATGACTCAGGAGCTCTAGTCTTTAGCTGCTAATCAAAAGGTAAGCTTGATGTTCATTTGCTAATCAAAAGTTCAAATCCATCAGCCATTAGGCCAGAGAAAGATGAGATGGTCTGCTTCCATTAAGATTAGAAACCCTATGGGGCAGTTCTAGAGGCAATAAGTTTGTTTGGTTTTTGTTTATGGCTGAGAACTAAAAACAGGGTAGGGAATAGGATGTCTGAATCCTCAGCTTGAGTGAGGATTTTCATTCATTGAATTATCTTGGTATCTATTGTGTGTCCACCACTGTGCTGCACAGTTCAGCAAACCCAATAATAAGGACGTTTGTTCTCTAGATTTCAGCACTTTCTTCCTAGTCTACATTAATGAGTCTCAAAGATAATTTTCTTTAGCACAAACTAGGATATTAAAAAGATTGTGTATCATTGTTATATGCAGCGTTAATGTAGACAAGGAAGAAAGTGCTGAAATCTAGAAAATGGGCAAGTGGAGAACCAAGAAATAAGCTTGAAGAGGTCTGAGAGTATACACATTCCTCATGAAGTGTACAGTTTTTAATACTGTGTTCACCTGTCGTCGTCATCAAGCATACCGGGATCTCACAGAAAAAGAAACTAAGGCACTCGAGATGTGGCAGAGCTGGGACTAGCACAGATGCCTGCCTTTGCTGTTCCCTGCACCCCACTACAATCTTTCAAGGGCCATTTATTATAGTCTATTAAACAAGAAGGGCTTTGATAGGTCACCTCTAGTGAGCCTGAGGAAATAGAGGCTCTGTGCAGGAAAGAGAGCCTGGACTGGAACACAAAAGGTTTAATGTCTGAGTCATCATGCTTAGTCTAATGCTTTGGTTTGTTACATCAACATAATACATTGAGAAGACTTTAAATTTGGAACCGCTTCTGCCTATACTCCTACAATTGATTTTTTTTAACAATTTGTTTTTTATAAGTCTTCTAAAATTAATCTAATTCCTTGAGTATATACAAGGTAGGACAGAATAGAAAGGGCACAATTATCTGGGAATCTAACTTGGAACTCAGTAGCTCCACAGGTGAAATACCGGGCCATCTCCTCCCAAAAAGACAACAGCCTCAGGGGCAATTCACTTTAGTGCACAGGGTCACTGTGAGTCAGCACCAACTTAGCAGCACAACAGTACATCTTAACAGATGGACACTTTAAAAAGTCTAAAGAGGTGCATGGGGTTTTGCAGAATAACATCCTTCAGTGAGAAGTAATCTCAGGAAAGAACAAATTCCACATGGCATTATTACTTTTAAACCTTCCACGGTTATTATTTATCTTTACTGTCCTGGGTATCTTTCTACTAAACCCAAACTAAAGTCTGCTCTTTGTAGATCCGGAAATCCACGGATGGCATTGCCTTCATGGCTGATTCCAGATTTCTTTCTACCATGATGTTCCTCTCCTATGTGGCAGTGCCCCTTCACCTACTTACTGCTTCCAGTTTTTCAATTAACAGTAGCTCGTGGGCAGATTTTATGCATGGTCTTGGTCTTTTCTTTCTGTCTTTCTCTCTCTTCACATGTTTACTTCTTAGTGATTCTGTCCTGGTATGTCTACTGCCCTGAGTTGCCAGACCCTTTCTAAAGGATCATTATTAACTGAATTAAAATAAAGTCTGAACAATGTCAGTTTCAGAGATCCTGTTTTTCTCTATTTCATTCCTTATTAAAGCTGAGAAAAAAGTATACATGTACTATGAGAGAGAAAAGAAGGGTTTTGATTGAACTTCAGAGGTTTGTGAGCTGCACTTGATTTATTTTGATCATATACAGTGTGCTTACCCCAAGAGACAGTGACAAAACAAGATCATGATAACAGAATGGCGCGGTGTACAAATCATTTCTCTATTAAGGCTTGCTATCCAAAAAAGGGACTTACTATACCAAACCAAGGGACGTGGTTAATGAGTCTGCTCTGGACAGATAAGAATCATAATAGACCTGGCTTTATTTCTTCTTTTTAAAGGGCACATAGATGTTCTGTAACTTCTATCACTGTTATCATGGGGTCAAGCAGCTATATGACTATCAAAGATCTATTTGTCAAGATTAATTGACTGTGTGTTATTTCCTCCCTTTTTAGCACGAGGTAGAACTAACATTGAACTTAGAGAGAAATTCATCCTACCTGAGGGAGCATCCCAGGGAATGACCCCTTTCCGGTCACGTGGACGAAGATCCAAACCGTCTTCACGAGCAGCTTCCCCTACCCGCTCCAGCTCAAGTGCTAGTCAGAGCAACCACAGCTGTACTTCCATGCCATCTTCTCCAGCCACCCCAGCCAGTGGGGCCAAGGTATGTACTGACCTCTGGACAAGGTATGTCCTGGCCTCACTCCCGTCTGGAATGGGAGTTCTATCCATGGTTTAGTGTAACCGCTGAAGTATTACACTCAGAAAAGGAACATTAAGACTTAGAGACCAACCTCCACCTAAAGAAAATCTGACCAGGCCCTGGCAACACTCACATACAAGGCCTTTAAGAAGACTGCAAAACACATTTATAAAAATATATATTCATGCTGGTTAGAATCAGGCATGTTTCTCCACATATTTCCAGTAACCCATCTAGAGTTATTTTTAAAATCCAGGCACTACTTGTGAACTGGAGCTAATGGGTAATTCTGTTGTTAATAGTGGCTTATATATGAAAAGCACCATTGCCTTTCTACGTGACCCCTTTCATCCTATTGGACTGATGAGCATTTTATTTTGTTTTCTGTTTCTTTACAATGTAGTGTGTTCTATTTATTTTTCTGTTCCCAATTTGCTCCCTTTCTGTTCCATTTCCTATTGTTCCCGTCCTTCCCTTTGGATTTCCGTTTCACAGACTCCACTTCAGTTCTCTCGCTGTTATGACAAACCCTGGTTGGTAAACAGTAAAGCTGGCACCCCTGTCAGGGACAGCCATTATCCTGACCTTCAGCTGTCCAGCCCTGAGGTAGAGTATGGCTTTCCTGACTAAGGACACAGTAAAGACAAGGTCTTCACTGATGCCGAGAACTTGACCAGCTACTCTTCCTGACACCAGGCCATGCTCTCTTCCATCTCTTAGGTGCTTGCTATCACAGCTCATTCATCTAATGTTTTTCAGGGGGTTCTAACTCAAGAGTCACCAAAATTGGAGATAAATAAGAGAGGCCTAAAAATAAATTTTTTAAAAACTTTGTGACAATCTTTACAATATTTGTTCAGAATGATAAACTATTGCCGTTCCTGGTAATTTGTTTATAAGACCTCTTGGAGTCTCCAAATGTCAGATACACAGATGAGTTAGTGACTCTTGAAATTCACTTATGATGCATGTTCAACAACGTTCTATCTTTGCTTAGAACAATAGAGTGGTTGGCGCCTCCCACCCTGAGACACACGCCCAGGCTGGTTGGTATCGCCACACAGTTCCAAGACAGGAGCTGCCTTCGTCGGACAAGCACACTGTTGGTGAACACTGCTCTGGGGCTCAGATTTAGCTTCTGAATTTCTTGGCGTGGGCATTTGGGTTGTAGTAGTCTTGATTTGGTAAATACACATGCCAACAAAGTGTGGTCTTTAATAGCATTCATCTACACATGTTTGGAAGAGCAGTGTTTTCAGAAAAGAAACATGAACTAGCAGCTTGCCCGGTAGCAGCAAATGGACGTTCTAGCACCTGGTAGGAAACATTGGGTTCTTGTACCTCAAAAAACAGTATTGCCTTCTGTCATGTAATGATTCAGCTGGTTAAACCAGGAGGTACAAAAAGCCAATGCCTCTGAGTAAACTGCTGTTTTGGGATTTGTCCCACACTGGGCTTAAATCCATTACAGAAATGTGTCTGGTTTAGGACACACTCTGGGGATCTATTATTACAAAAACCCCAAGCCTCAATCTGCTTACCCTCTTTTTGTAATGGTTTCAGGGGGTTTTTTTAAGTCTCAAAATGTCTAAAATTTCAATTATTAAATTTTAGAAATTAAAAAGTACAGATTCTCATATGATTCTGATCCATATTTTATTTTTTTGTTTGTTTGTTTGTCTTAAGTTGTTGTTTTATCTTGAAATGGCTTTCTTTCCTTGCTGGTGTTCTACATTGGGCCATGTCCTGATGGAATCCCAGGCCAGGAGCTCGGGGGCTGTGCTCTGCCCAGCAGCAGTGCTCACAGAAGCTTCTGGAACTGATGCTCTTCCTCCTGGCAAGACCAGGAGGGTTCACTCTCTATCGCTTTTGCCTTCTAAGTTGGACTATAAGAAACTCAATGAGATGGGTTGCTTTACTCTTCTATATATATAAACATCTTAAAGGTCTTGGAAAACAATTTATGCATTGAATTCAGAAAAAAAAATACAATAGAATGATGTACATACAGCATGAGTGATATTTAAAACCGATTTAAAATTTTTTTCGTCCTCCAAATTGTCTTCGTAATTATAGTTCTTACAGTAACAATTAAAAGGAGCTCTGATGATGTAAGATCAAAGATCTCTTACAAATCTAGACTTTAAAATCCACAAGCAGTTAAAATCCACCATGAATCCTAATTGTCTAAATGGCAATGAGTGATTAGTAACAGTTAAAATTATGTATATCCAGGCAGTTCTGCTCTGTCTTGTGGTGTTGCTATGAGTTGCAGTCTACTTGGTATCCATGGGTTTGGTTTTGACTTTTCATCTAGCTGTTATCTAGTTTGGAAAGTGTTTCTACATATCAGCTATTCATTCAATAAGTTTTTATTGAGCATACCTCCTGTTTTAGGTGAGGAGGATGTGTCAAAATTAAGTCCCTGATTTTATAGTACTTACACATTAATTCAAGAGACATAACAAACAAGCATACCTTATAATATTGTTATGTACCATAGAGTCTGAAACAAATCATAGCTTGACCATCAGCTTTCCAGAGACAATAAATCACTTAAGAGGAGACTGCCAATCTTTCTCCCTCAGAGCAGCTGGTAGATTCAAACCAACTCCTTACCACTAAGCTACCAGAGCTTCCTATATCTTACAATGTTATTGTTGTATACCATTGAGTCAGAATCAACTCCTAGTTGACCTCCCACTGAGTTTTAGAGCCAATTAATCACACAGGAGGAGATTACCCATCCATCTCCCATAGAGCACCTGGTGGATTCTAACCGCATACCTTTGGATTGGCAGTGCAGTTCCTTG